ACAACAAGGAAGTAAGAACCTCCAGAATAACTGTCAAGGTTAAATGAGATAAACCTAAGAGAGTCCTTTGAATGCTTACAGGCACACGTAGCTAGTGCCCAATAGATAAGTTATTATTATCTCTCTTCTGACATATTCTGGTTCATCATCTTTTCTTCTTCCAACCACAGTATAAATAGTACCTATAATATTTTTTTGTGTATCATGCACACACACTCAATTGATTGAATGAGTTCAATCATAACACCCAACACAATGCAAAGGAAAGTATCTCACAACATGTTAGTCTTCAGATCAAGGAAAACACCTGTAGGGCCAGGGATATAGTATGGCAGGTAAGGTACTTGCCTTGCACACCACAGCTGACCCAGGTTCAATACCCAGCACTACACATGGTCCCCCAAACCCTGCTGGGAACAAGTCCTGTGCACTTTCAGGTGTGACCACAAAACAAATCAAAAAAAAAAAAAAGGAAAACACCTAATAGTCTGCATTTTTAAATGATGTTGTAATAGCAAAAGGGAGGGAACATGGAGATTATGGGACAGATTCGTTTATCTTAAGCTATTGTTTTTCAGGCCTTCCTAGTATTTCTCTCCATGCCTCATTGGCTCCAAGGCTTTTGACTACCAGTCTGCAGACCTGGACAATCTGGGCACAAGAAGCAACAGTTTGGAAAGTATAAATAGGGCTCCATCATGGTGCAGTGAGAAAACGGTCACGGTCACGGTCACATCCTCCCGTTGTTCATCTATTTACTCGAGCGGGCCCAGTAACGTCTCCATCATGAGACTTGTTGTTCTGTGTTTGGTCACGGGTAGCTTGCCAGGCTTTGCCGTGCAGGCGAGATACTCTCCGTAGCTTGCCGGGCTCTCCGAGAGGGGCGGAGAAATTGAACCCAGCTCGGCCAGGCCAGCTGTGCGCAAGGCAAACACCCTACCGCTGTGCTATCACTCCAAAAAGAGGCAGAAAATAGAGACCAGAGGTAGGCCTCTGAGTGAGCCATTCTAGGAGCTGGACAAAGATGAATAGGTCACAAATGACAAAGGAATAACAAAGAACAGAACAAGTAAACAACAACAACAACAAAAATAAGATCAATCTGGTTGCTTGAGCAAGACCCAGAGTCACAGAAATGATTAGTAAATTCCAAATGGAATTTAAAAGTAATTGTGTGAATCACTGATTGTACTAACCGTGCATATGTTAGAAACCATTGTGTGTGTTTGATGAAAACTGTTTCTCTCGAAAGGATGTTACCTGTAGCAAGCCTAGAAAAGCTCCTTGTGAAAAGTCTGAAGCTCAGACCATTTTAGGAGCCGCCAGGTAGAAACTGCATGTGTCACTAAAGTCAGTTCTCCCTCCAATCTCTCAAGCATTTGTGCCTCTCTCTTCCTTGGTCAGATTTCTGTAGCAACAGGGCCGCCTTCAAAGAAAATATCTGGATAGCACAGCCATCCGAGAAGACTTGGGGGGATCTGTACATGAACTATTTCATAAGCACTGGTGAAAGCTTTGCCCTGTGAACCACGGGCAGTTAGGAAAAGCCACTCATAGGATGAACAATCACCCAAATGCCCAAGAATTTAATCATGTGTGAAGGGAGCCTGATTCTTTCAAGGCAGGCATGAGAAGCTGTGCAAGCTAGCAATTCAATTATTTTGTACTGTACAGTGAAAATAACCAAGTCTGGTGGGATCAGAGAATTCTGTATCCAACCCCATTATCAAACAGAGCTTTGGGTAGCATGTTGCTATAAATGTGGTGTATCTTGATAAAAAGTCTTTTGGTGGTTTGGGTTTTCATTTGTTTTGATTTTGGCTTTTTGGGTCACACTCGGCAATGCTCAGAGGCTACTCCTGACTATGCCCTCAGGAATTACTCCTGGCAGTTTTCGGGGGATTATATGGGATGCCAGGAATCAAACCCCGGTTGGCCACATGCAAGGTAAATGCCCTACCTGCTGTACTATCACTCCAGCCCCTTGATGATAAGTCTTAAGACATTTGTTAACTTGTGAAAAATCAGTAGGTCGATTAGCTGATGCCTCTACGCAGTGCTCCAGAAGCAGTTGTCTTCAGCTTGTGAGACCAGAATGAACCTGACAATGGTGTGTAGAGGTGGAAAGCGGAATGCATACAAATTTTGTTTGTTTGGAGGCAAAACCCAAGCAGTTATCTGGGGGTACTGCCAGCTCTGTGCTCAGAGATCACGTCCAGTGGTGTTGAGGGATCATGTAGTGAAGGAGATCACACTCAGGCTTTCTGCAGACAAAGCGTGCACTGTGGCCCATTGGGCCATCTCTCCAGCTCTATACCAATGTCTCTAAGTGACTGAGCTCCTTCAATCCTCCCAACAGCAATTGAAGGTGACTTTATTACCCCAAAATTGTAGATGTAGAAATTGAGGCGTGTGGAAGTCAGGGCATCTCAGGAGACATGAATCTCTGTAAGACTGAGCCTCTGGGAATCTAGATCTTCTGGCATCTGGGTCTCGGGGTTCCCAAATGTCTCTGCTCCTTGACCACAGTGAGCGAGAGGGCCCAGTTCACTGTACCTTGCTTAGTAACTTAAATAGATTTGATGTAATATCAGACCAGCTTTGTTAATCATTTGACAATTGTTGAGCAACTCCTGGACATGATGAGGGAGGGAAAAGCAAAAGAAAAATAGATCTTGGCACTTGAAGGGGTTACTTCATCAAAAAGGAGAGGGGCTTTGACAAGGACAAACATCAGGGGCTCTGACAAAGCAGTTAATGGCCGGTCTCCTGTGAATTGCAAACCGCACACTCTCGTGCAATCATGCCTCTGAGGGCTTTAAAGCCCATAAAATGTCATCCTTTGCTTGCAAGCATTTGTCTTCTTAATGACCCTTAAAATGAATAGTATAATTAACAGCATCTTAGCGTCAAGAAAATATCAAAGCATGAAATGGCCATTAGTCACAGGAAGGGAAATTTTTCCATATGGAGTTAATAAACTTTCTGTTATGACAAACCTAGAGGTCATTATGTATGGCCATTATTGATACCCACTGCCTGGCTTGGATGAAACGTTCCTTTGCTCAACATATGACCTGCACAAGTCAGACTAATAATTAGGTTAGCAATTCCAGGTAGCAGTGTAACACATGGGTCAAAAGTGCATGTAATGGGAGATACGTGCTGAAAGTAGACTATAGACCGAACATGATGGCCACTTAATACCTGCACTGCAAACCACAACACCCTAGAGGAGAGAGAGAGTAAAAGGGAATGTGCCTGTCACAGAGACAGTGGAGGGGATGAGGGAAGTGGGAGGGGTACTGGGAACACTGGTGGTGGAGAATGGGCACTGGTGGAGGGATGGGTACTCGATCATTGTATGACTGAAATGTGAGCACAAAAGTTTGTAAGTCTGTAACTGTACCTCACGGTGATTCATTAAAAAATATTTTTAGAAAGGTGCATTGTAGACTTTTCCTAAAGGTTTAGGAAGACTATGCGTGCTGGTGTGTGTGTGTGTGTGTGTGTGTGTGTGTGTGTGTGTGTGTGTGTGTGTTCAATCCATGTCCTGGTAAATGTTCCAGGTTTGCTGGGGGTGGGAGGGCTGGATGGGTCACCAGCGGGTGGGAGGTAGATGTCCTATTCCTCATCATTGAAGGACCCAGAGTGACACCAAGACGGGATCCAACCAGGTTATGTGGAAAACAGTGTTCTATGGGGGTCATGAGGCTCAGTTAAGGTGTGATGGATCTATTGACACAACAAGCACAGATTCTGATTGTGAGATTGTGGCCAAGCTTCATAGGGTTTTGTTTTGGTTTGGGGTTTTAGATTTTGGGCAACACACACCAGGGGCTGCTCGGTGAAGTTACTCCTGAGTAGGCTGATGAGTGTGTCTGTGTGTGTGGTGGTGGGGGGGGGGGGGGGGGAGTTGCTGGGGGGATCACACCCAGTGGTGGGAGAGGGGAAGGTGAGGACCATCCTCAATGAAGGAAGCATCAAACTAGGTCTCCAGCATGCCTTTAACCCTCCTGCCTTTAGCCATCTTCCCGAACCCTCACACAGGCTTTTTGCCTGGGGAAAGGAAGTTCAGTATTTTGAGACTCAGAGTCCTCCTTTGTAAATATTATTTCTGTTCAGTGGCGTGAGGGGTGGAGCTGATCCTTACGGCATGGCCCCTGGTAATAATGAATGGTGGGAGGAGCGGTTGGTGACTAGGCTGGGATTGGATATAAAGCGGCAAGGCCCTGCTTTGGGCACGGTCCTCTGGAACCTGTGATTACAAAGGAAAGAAAGTGCAAACGCGGAAGACTAGCTCAGACCTTTTTTTGAATCGTACCGAGACAAGTATGGGGTCTCCGAGAGGAGTGGGGGCGGTCAGGGGGCTACCCAGCCACCCTCTGCAGGCCGTGCAGGACCTCCAGCGCACCGGGCCTGCAGGTGGGCAGAAGCGTTCTCCACCAGCGCTGGGGAACCCCAGTGCGCGGGCCTGTGTGCACGCCGGGGAGAATGATCCTCAGCCGCCGCGGCCCTGGAATCTGCGGCGGGAGGCCAGGAGGCGGACCCGAGGCTGCAGGACCTCGCACCGACTTCGGCATCCGAGCCCGCCCCGGGCCCGCCACGCCACGCCTCCACGACGGCTCCGCCCACCTCCCCGCTGAGGCCACGCCTTCTGCCCCGCCCCGCCCCTCATAGGTCCTTCCTCGCTCCAAGGCCCGCCCCATCCATTAGCCCCGCCCCCGCCCCTCGACCCTTAGGCCCCTCCCGGTCCACGAGGCCCGTCCCGCTCCATCAGCCCCGCCCCCCGGCCCTCACCTCATAGGCCCACCCCGTTTTCGAGGCCCGCCCCTTAAATAAGCCCCGCCCAGCCCTCGAAACCCGCCCCTCTCCGGCACAGGCCCCGCCCCCAAGGCCCCAAGGCCCCGCCCCTCCGGCCCCGCCCAGCCCAGCCCGGCTCCCTTCCGCGGGGCGGAGCCTCGGGCCCCGCTCGCTCCGCCCGCCGCCCCCCTGGCCAGCCCACCCCTCACTCTGGCCGCTGCTGCAGCAGCCACCCTGCTTTAGCCGGTGCGTCCGGAGCCCCGCAGCGGCATCATGTTGGGCATGATCAGGAACTCGCTGTTCGGGAGCGTGGAGACTTGGCCCTGGCAGGTGCTGAGCACCGGGAGCAAGGTAGGCCGGCGGGGCCGTTCCGGAGCGCAGGGGCGAGCCCAGGGGCTGGAGCCCACGCGCGGGGCTGCAGCGGCGCCCGTGGAGCAGGGGTGGGTGGGGGAGCAGGAATGCGGCCCCCGGGTCCTGTAGGGCGGTAGGGCCAGCGGGAGCAGCGGGATGAAAAGAGGACGGGCTGATCTCAGGAAGATTCGCGCTAGGGAAAAGGACTCGCCTGTTGAGTGCGTTGGTTCCCGTTGACATTCCGAACATGCCTGAGTGTCCGCGGAGACCCTGCGGTGCAGAAAACACCGAGTAAGCCCAGCTTGACCTCAGGAATCACCCACTTCGGGGCAAAAGAGATGGGGCAGGAGTTAAGGCGGTTTATCTTGCATGCAGCGGGCCCTGGTTTGAACCCAGGCACAGACACGTAGTGACCCCTGAGCACAGAGCCCCTGCACGCAGCTGGGTGTGGCCCCAAAACTCAAATAAAACGGGGGGGGGAGGGGGAGGGGGAGGAGGAGGAGAGGAAAGAAATATCTACTTGTGGATAGTTCCATATGAGAGAACCAGATGGAGTGCACAGAGATAATGCAAGGTGGGCAGTGGGTGTACTTGAAAATGTTAAAAATGGACCTTTCCACAGGAAATGTCTTCAAGGGGAGCAACGGAATCTCTGGGATGTGTGAGGTGCTTGGCAAAGCAAAGAGCATATACAAAGGCCCGGGGGTCTGAAGGGGCTTGTTGGCCAGTGCAGCTCACAGCATTGGAAGGGTCTAGAACAGGGAGGAGTGAGGAGGGCAGAACTGCTGCCCTCCCCAAGTTCCTATCAGCGCTAGCCCCGTCCAGTTAATTGGCTGCCGCCTGTGAGAGGTCTGGTAGCAGATGATAAAATCCCGAGGGACAGGCTCTTCGTGCCTGAGTGGCTGAGTTCCCGCTACTGCCCGGGTGACTTCCCTGTCCACGGGTCATTAGACAGCTGGGGTCTAACTTATGGTACCAGGTACCACGGTCGTCACACCAAGGCCCCAGCTACCAGTGCCGCTCACTCGAGTCCGAGGCCCCCTCGACTCCTCTGTCCACATCTCCGTCCCCTCACCAACACGGACAGCGGGCAGTGCAGCCCAGACCTGGCCAGCCGGTGCCAAGGCTGCTGGGGGTAGAAATGAGGGTTAGACCTGAGCCTGGTGGTGGAGAAGGTTCCATTCCCTGTCCCTGTCCCCAAAGGGCCCCTCCTGCCAAGGGGGTACCACACAGCAAAGGGAGCTGTTGTTGTCCTTAACTTTGAGGCAAACCCCCCGATCTAGATTCTTGTGATCGATGATTTAAAATTCATTTCCGGGGCTGGAGTGATAGCACAGTGGGTAGGGCATTTGCCTTACACACAGCCAACCTGGGTTCGATTCCCAACATCCCATATGGTTTCCTGAGCACCGCCAGGGGTAATTCCTGTGTGCAGACCCAGGAGTAACCCCTGTGCATTGCCAGATGTGACCCCTCCCCCCCAAAAAAGAAGAAATAAATAAAATAAAATAAAAATAAAATTTATTTCCTCAGAAAAGTGTGGCTGGGACCTAGCTGTGCATCTGTCACTGCTTATGGGGTTGGGATCGAACTGTGAACCGAATTGATGTGGACAGCCTTGTCCTGGGGACCTGCTGGGGAGGCAAGGCCCTAGATCACGCGACCTGGGTCAGATGGCGTGCAGGGCGAGGGGGACAGCACTCAGGAGCAGCGAGGAAGGAAGGGGAGCTGGCGTTTGTGGCTGTAGTCTGGAGAACCCCATGTGTCGATGGACATGTGACTGCTTGTAGTTGTCAACATGGCAGGTCACAGGTCTCTAAGACAGATAATCTACTCTGAGGGACCCCGAAGTAGTTTCAAACTCCAAACCAGCAGCCACTTCACCAACCGAATGGGTTTCTTCAGCAGAAAGAGGCAGTTTGGAAAGTGCAGAGTCATGGTGAGGTGGGGGGCGGGGCCCTTGCCTGGGTGCTGAGTCAGCTTCCCCTCTGGAACTTTCCCCTGCTGGGGTGGAAGCAACAATATCGCTTCCTCTTGGACCTGCAGTTCCCTGACTCAGCCTAGGAAGCCCCTTCTGGCTTCTTGGCCTCATTAAAATAGGGCTTCCCAGAGCTGGAGTGATAGCACAGCGGGTAGGGTGTTTGCCTTGCATGCGGCCAGACCTGGGTTCAATTCCCAGCATCCCATATGGTCCCCCAAGCACGGCCAGGAGTAGTTCCTGGGTGCATGAACCAGAAGTAACCCCTGTGAATCACTGGGTGTGACCCAAAAAGCAAAAAAAAAAAAATAGGCTCCTTAGGCCGCCATGCTCACGGCCACCCTCCACACGCTACGGCTGAGCCTCACCCATGAATCTATTCCTGGATCACATGGCCATGTTTTCGACCGGGCAATACTTCAGAACATACTCCCTACTCATACTCCAAGATTACCGCACCACATTTGACAGGGTTCAAAGTAGGAGGCAAGGGGCTGGAGCAATAGCACAGCAGATAGGGCGTTTGCTTTGCACACAGCCAACCCAGGTTCGATTCCCAGCATCCCATATGGTCCCCTGAGCACCGCCAGGGGTAATTCCTGAGTGTAGAGCCAGGAGTAACCCCTGTGCATTGCCAGGTGAGGCCTAAAAAGAAAAAAAAAAAGTAGGAGGCAACCAATCTTAGAGGGAAATATATACTTTTTTTTTTGTTACAGATACGTATATAAAAAGCACTCAAGGCTCAACCTTTAACAACATGTTAGTGATCTCCTACAGAAGGGCTCAATGGCCCCTGGGTGAAGTACAGCAATCTTCACACTCTTTCCTCTAAGGATACTTTTTTCGTAGCATTTTCAGCGGTTTTTCATAACAAACAATACAAAATATATTATTTCGGTTCTGCTTTGGGATAGGGATTGGGGTTCAGGATGGAAACACTCGAAATATGGTGGTCGGAAGGTGCAGTGGTGGTGGGATGGGTGTTTGAATATTAAATGTAATCAAATATTGTGAACTACTTTATAAAATCACAAAATCTCAAATCACAAATCATCCTGTTATTCGTCGATTGCCTCGAGCAGGCCCCAGTAACGTCTCCTTCATCCTAGCCCTGAGATTATATCCAAGGCTCTTTAAGAGAATGAGACCCATCATTGTTACTGGTATTTGGCATATCGGGTACGCCACGCGGAGTTTGCCAGACTCTGCCGTGACTTTATAAAATAAAAAAATTAAAAATAAAATAGGGCTTCTCTAGATTTCTTTCCTCAGAGCAGTAGAGCAAGGCTTCACATTCTATATTCTAGATGGAGTGCTGAGATTAAGTTGTCAACAGCCCAGGCGTGAATTATAATAGCACAAAAAGTGACAGTCTGTCATGTCAATTATTTTTATGGATTAGAGCTTGGAGATCCAAATGTTGATTGCTGTTTTGTTTTTCATTCTTCTAGTGATGTTTTTTTGGATTTGGTTGTAGTTGAGGTCATGTGGGCACAGTCGTGTGAAGGTGTATGCTTCTGATATACAAAGTTTCTGCATCTTCACCACCTTTGATTGCGTTTTTATGTTGACAAGAATGCTTCAGATCCCCCTCATGTTTATATTAAAGAAAAGTGAATAAAATAAAGGCCCTCCCATTGATCATCGATTTGCTCGAGCGGGCCCAGTAACGTCTCCATTGGAGACTTTGTTGTTACTGTGTCTGGCATATCGAATACTCTCGGTAGCTTGCCGGGCTCTCCGAGAGGGGCGGAGGAATCGAACTCGGGTCGGCCATGTTGGCTGCGTGCAAGTCAGACGTCCTAAAAACAACAACAACAAAAATAAACAGGGTAGGAGCAATAGTGCATCACATAGTTCTTGCACTGTATGTATCCAACCTGAGTTTGATCCCCAGCACCCCATGGGGTCAGTCCCTGGAGTCCACCAGAAATGCTCCCTGAGCACAGAGCCAGGAGTGAGCCCTGAGTACCACCAGGTATGGCCAAAACCAAAACCAAAAAAACTATGTTTGAAGAATCTGCCTGTTATCAACAGCTCCCAGAGTTTTTCTTCCTGGAGAGGAATGGGTCTGTCTCCAGCTTTTGGGGTGAGGACAATTGTCCCTTCCAGGCTGAGGGTCCCCGGGCCTGTGGCTGGTTTGCTCATCCTCCAGATCCGGGCCCTCCTACCCTCACGGTCTCTCTGCTGCCCCCTGCTGACGAATAGACGGAAAGACAGGGCGAAGCCAAGAGCCAGCCTGCTTGCTCCAGCAAGCACTGTGGCTGCCATTCTAAGAAAAGCAGAGGCATCACATGGCTCCGTGTTCCCGTTCTAGGCTTTTTCTTTCTTTTTGGGTCACACCCGGCGATGCACAGGGGTTACTCCTGGCTCATGCACTCAGAAATTACCCCTGGCGGTGCTCGAGGGACCATATGGGATGCTAGGAATCGAACCTGGGTCAGCCGTGTGCAAGGCAAACACCCTACTCGCTGTGCTATCACTCCGGCCCCCATTCTAGGCTTTGACATGTGCATACGAGGGACATCAGGGCTGGGGGTGTGGCCTCAGTGATCCCGAGTGGTCTTTGGGAATGAGTGACCACAGGTCAGGTGAGTTCTCAGGAAGAGCAAGTGCTCCGAGGTTGGCCTTCCCCGAAGGCTCCATGGAAGTGACCAGATGCCTGGGGGTGGCCCCAGCTCTCCTCAGCAGAGTGATGGCCATGGTGTCCAGGGGCTGGGATTGTTCCTCTATCCACGGGAAGGAAATGTATGGAAGTGGAGCTTGGGCTTGCTTCCAGTCTCTTCCTTTCCCCACTGCCCTCCTGGAATTCTGTATTATAAGAAGGTGGGGTGGGGTGTGGAAAGTAATGTTTTTGCATTCCAAATAGAAAATGATAACATTCTGTGTGCTTCTCCGGACTCCTCAAATCACTCGCCACCTTCATTCTTAGCCATCTGTGGCGATCCCCCTCATCCCCTCTGGAGTTGAGAGTCCTCCACCCTGCTCGGGGCCACCTGGTTCATTGGTTACATGCCTTTTGTCTTTTTGTCACTGCCATTAGGAAGACAAGTGGTACTTTGACCCTTCAATATCTACTGAGCAGCTGACATCGGCAGCGCGTGGCTGGGGTTGTGGCCACAAAGACCTGCTAGCATGGTCTCCGTCATACTAGCATCCTGTTGTGATAGTTTGGTACATTCAGAGCAACATGTTCTTTAGGACTCAAGTTCAACTCAAGTTGAACAGGAGAAAACAGGACGGAGGACAAGCAGCGGGCAGCCTCAGGTCGCACGAGCACAGCGTTCTTGTGAGAAAGTCCAGGCGTGATCTCAGTGGGCCCCGTGTCAGCTACACGGAGGGCAGCATAGCTAGTGAAGTTAGCCAGAGAAAGGTCAACACAGTTGGATTTATTTCACGCATCTGTGTCATACAGAGGAACCAACCCAGCGGGTCAACTAATGAAATCTAAAACGTTTGAATTCCCTTTTTCCAGCCAGCTTTTGAGTGGTTACCAAAGAAGGGAGAGGGAAGGGAGGTGGGTAAGTTGGGACCGAGGGGACAATGGATGATGGATGGTGAAGGGTGGACCTGGGCCTAGAGGGATGACTTACTTCCTGTTTCCTAGACCCACACCTAGAACAGAAGGTCAGCATTGAAGGTCGTCTCCATTCAAATTGATAGACATAACGCGTGTCTAAATGAACTTCTTGTTATGGAATGAGGGATTTTTTTTTTTTTAATGTCTGGGAAAATGCTGCCTTGTAGAATGTTCTGGAATTAAAATGTGTCCTATGAGCCAGTGGGTCCGTCCAGAATGGAGAATGACCTGAGCATAGACTCTATACAGAGTTGTTGAACCGGGACCCCTCCTAGGGTTTGGGGGGCGGGGTGGGGGTAGAAATAGGCCAGCTCAGTTGAGCATTAGGCTGGCAGCAGAATTGGGGGAAGAAACTCCATTTGGGAAACTCTTTGCCCCTTGGGTTGTGAGGCTGCCGCAGAACAAGGCTAAACTTGGGGTGCTGGGCTTGTGGCACTGCTGTCCGTTCCTTCTTTCTCCCGTTTCAATTGTTCTCCTCCGGTCTCCTACTATTCTAATACTGGGCTTCCGGGCTTCATGCTCCAGTGACTGTCCCCTCTCTGCCCTTTTCCCTTCCTTGGCTTCTGGGAACACACAAGTTTTCGTTTCTCTTTTACTCCTCATTCCTGAGAGCTCTGACCGCCGTGTGCTCTGTCCCTATAGTCCCCCCAGGGAATGAATGATGTGCTGGGGGCTTGGGAGCCGCCTCTCATGTGTCCGAGAAGGTGGACTTTGCTTTTGCTTTGTTTTTTTTCCCCTATGTTGGTGACAAATTCCAGAGTCCTTTTTCATGGCCCTGAGCAGGGGCCAGGTGTCAGTACAGGTAGTCCCTGGTAGCTTGTGCCTCTTGGTGCTTCTAGAAGCATCCTGGGTCACTCCCTTGCTCTTCTTATTTGTTTTTTTGCACCAAGCTCAGCAGTGCTCAGGGGCTACTCCCAGCTTAGTGCTCAGGGTCAAGCCCATGGGTGCAGGGATGAGACCTGGGGCTGTCTGTCACATGCGAGGCCGGCCTGGGCCCTCTGCAGCACGTGTCTTCTCTGTATGTTTAGGAAGAAGTTTCCTACGAGGAGAGGGCGTGTGAAGGCGGGAGGTTCGCCACGGTGGAGGTGACTGACAAGCCAGTGGACGAGGCTCTGCGGGAAGCGATGCCAAAGGTCATGAAATATGTGGGGGGCACCAACGACCAGGGTGAGTGTCCCCCGAAGAGCCCGTTTTGCTCTCCGGGCCCTGCCCTGGGTTCTACTCATCCCACTGGGGAAAGCACGGGGAGGGGCCCAGGCCTCACTGCCACCTGTCCCCCGGGCCTGGGGACACTGAATTGGGTCTAACCTCCTGCTCAGTGCCACTGAACCAGGCTGAGACACAGACTCAGTGTATGCTTTTTTTTTTTTTTTTTTTTTTTTTTGGTTTTTTGAGTCACACCCGGCGATACACAGGTGTTGCTCCTGGCCTTGTACTCAGGAATTACTCCTCCTGGTAGTACTCGGGGAACCCTATGGGATGCCGGGAATCGAACCTGGGTTGGCCACGTGCAAGGCAAACACCCTACCTGCTGTGCTATCACTATCAGTCCAGTCCCTCAATGTGTGCTTTGAACCCTGCAGTGCCCACGGGGTCTGTGGGGTGTCTGGCTGGCAAGGGGCGGGCAGCCTGGTGACCTCAGTCCAGGGAGCCTGCCCTGCCCCTGCATGGCACTCCTGCCCCAGGGTAGAAAATCCAATGAACGGTATCTGAGAGTCCCCCTGAGCGATAGGCCTGAAGTTTCCGGGGAAACGCCCCGCCAGGACCCCCAGGTACGAAGCTGCAGAAAGACGCAGGAAAGCGGGAGCGACCTGGGCAGGGCTGTAGGTACCCCGAGCCGAGAGGCTGCTATACACGAGACCCCAGGGGGCCCGCAGGCCGGGCCCCAGGCCCCAGACTAACACCTGAGCTAGCAGTTTTTACAGCCTCGCCTCAAAGTGCTGCCTCAGAGCCAGCCACTTGGAGCCCCCTGACCAGGCCAGGGACATCTCACAGGGCCAGCACTCCCTTCTGTCCCGTGAAGGGATGGACCCGAAATGCCCTCTCTCTCTTTCTTCCTCTTTTCTTTCTTTCTTTCTTTCTTTCTTTCTTTCTTTCTCTTTCTTTCCTTTTCTCTTTCCTTCCTTCCTTTCACCTTTCTTTCCTTCCTTTTGTCTTCCTTCCTTCCTTTCCTTCCTTTCATCTCTCTTTCTCTCTTTTGTTCTTTCTTTCTTGTTTGGGGACCATACCCAGCTGTGCTCAGGGCTTGCTCCTGGCTCTGTGCTCTGGGATTACTCCTGGTCAGCTTGGAGAACTGTCTGGGGTGCCAGGGTTCGAGCCTGAATCTGCTGCGGCGACGCCCTACCCAGCTCCAGTCCCCACCCCCATTCTTCTTTCTAAAGTTGTCTTCTGAGTACTTATTTTTAGGGTTTTAAAACCCAGCATTTAAAATGCAGCCACGGTGTCTGTGCGATTATAAGCTTCTGTCACTCCGTGTTAAAAGTGCCTTTTCCCTGGGGCTCAGCGGTCTCCTGAAACCTAATCATAAAAAGGGACAGTATGTGCCTCTTGCACCTTTAAGGAGCCATACTCCAGTTTTGAACACACACAAGCTCCCAGTTTTCATAATGTTGATGAACAAACATTTTGCACATTTTGTAAAACCTTTTGACTATTTTGGGTGTGTTTCCTTAAAAATTGGTATTTCAATAGGAAATAGATAAACAATAGATTTTACTTGCCAGATCATTTTCATTTGTTTTTTTTGGTGGGGGGAGGAGCCACACCCGGCTGGTGCTCAGGGGCTACCCCCCGGGGCTCTTGGTGGCAGTGCCCACATTTGGAGCTGGGCACCTCGCTGCAATGCAGGGACTCTAGCCTAATGAACCGTCTCCCGGTCTCTTTTGTCCCAGCCGCATCCCTAATCCTAATCCTCCCGCTTCACAGTGTGCGCAGTGAGATCTGTCTGTCTTTAATACCTGAGACGTTACTGGTTTCGGGGTCCATGGGGGTTGCCGCGGGATGCAGGGAGGCCGGGGGATGCCCGGGCAACGGTGGCCCCAGCGCCTCTCTTTGGTTTCCCGCGCAGGAATCGGCATGGGCATGACCGTCCCCATTTCCTTCGCCGTCTTCCCCAATGGCGATGGCTCTCTGCAGAAGAAAGTGAAAGTCTGGTTCCGCATCCCCAACCAATTCCAGGGCAACCCGCCCGTGCCCAGCGACGACAGCGTCAAGATCGAGGAGCGGGACGGCATCACCGTTTATTCCAGGTGAGGGGCCGCCAGGGGGCGCTCGCTCCCGGCACCTGGACCACCTGCAGGGAGCGCACAGCATCCTTGCGCGTGCATCCTTGCATCCCTGCGAGCCAGTTCGGCAGCACCTGAGCGTCTCACTTGGCGCTATCCGCAAGCCCGCAAACCCTTGCACCATTGCAAACTTTTGCACTGTTGCACCTTTGCAAACTTTTGCACCTTTGCACCACATCGGCAGACGCCGCCGCCTGCGGCCAGCCTGACTTTGGTGAAAAGAGATCCACCCTGGCTGAGCAGAGACACCCCCCACCCCGCCCCTTTAGGGATGCTCCGAGGATGACTTGTTCTGCTGGGGCTTGGAGGAGCCTCTGTGCGGGGTGGGGGCTGCCAGCCCCTTCATTGCTCTTGGCTCATGTTCCTTTTAACAGAAGGCGCTTGCACCCCACAGTTCTTCCCTTACCACTCCCAGTACTTCATGTTGTGGGCGGAGGGGGGGCGTCATCTGCCAGTCGTTGCACGTTTATATGCTTGGGCTCCACCCTCTCCCAAGAAAGCACGTGACTCCTGAATTATCACTGACCCCGTTTATTAAAACCCTACGGGGAGGGGGGGTTGGAGGGAGACGGGCCACGCATACCTGAGAACTTCTTCCCAGGTTGTCAGGTAAAAGGAATCCACGAATAACCTTGCACCGAGAAAAAAAATTGTTGTTTCCACCCCTGAGCCTCCAAACTCATCTCCTTGGCTGCGCTGCGACACCTCTGTAATTTTGAGGGTGCAGCTTTGCCTAGAACTACACCAAGATGGGGACCCCCATCTGCTCTGAGTAATCCCAGACCACTGTAGTGCAGTGCCTCCTCAAAGGACAGAGCATGTCCTGCAGTTGGGATGCCCACCTGGAGCTCTTAGTACCTGGGGATGTTTGCAGCCTTGGCTGCAGAGAAAGAGAGTGATCTGGGTCATTAAAGAAGGTCATTTCCCAGGCCACGGACTTCTGTGGGTCAGCGAGGCACTTGTGCAGGCTGGGAGGGTGCCTCACTCCCCCAGTTGTCTGATATTGAGCTCCTACTGATGCTGGCTGGCTCACCCTCCTCCTGTTCCAGCTTTCCCACTTTCAGGGTCTGGAAGACCCTCTGGTTACAGTAACAAAAGTAGTTTGAGGTTTGCATCTTGGCTCTACTGTTTGGTAGAAAAATACTGTATGGAAAGTCACTGTCTTATTATTGGGGGATGAGGAGGTTTGCATCCAACGATGCTCAGGGGTTACTCCTGTTTCTGCACTCAGGAATTACCCTTCACGGTGCTCGGGGGACCCTCTAAGATGCCAGGGATTGAATCCGTTTGGCCATGTGCTAGGCAAACGCCCTACCTGCTGGACTGTTATCATTCCAACCCCAAGTTACTATCTTTACAGAACCTGTTTCCTCCACTTGTTCAGTGCTGGTGACCTGCCTCTCGATTACTGCATTTACTAAGACATTCTTTGTCATTGACTTCATGCTATGACCCACAGTGGATTTCATTCACGTTGCTCTCCCTTTGCCAATTCTATAGAAATGAAGTTGACATAATTAAGTCATTTCACATAAAATTACAAGTGGACAGAGCTCAGCTCTCATCCTTTATTTCCAGACCCAGATGAACGAGTTGCTTCACTTCTTTTCTTTGTCTTTAACTTTGGGAGAGTGAGGCGTTTAAGTCCATACCCGGCAGTGCTCGGGGCTTATTCCTGGCTCTGTATTCAGGGATCACTCCTGCTGGGCTGGACGATCATGTAGGATGCAGGGATCACACCTGGGTCAGCCGTGTGTAACACAAGCACCCTTCCCCACTGTACTATTGCTCCAGTTCTCTTTTAACTTTTTAGTATGGAACATTTTTTATAGTTTTTTAAAATTTTTTCATAAAATTGTTCACAGTAATGGATTACATTCAATATCTCAACACCAATCCCACCACCATCACACCTCCCCCCCACACACACACCATTTCAGATTTCCCACCACACTCAAACCTGCCGAAGAGGCAGATGCCAGATAATTCATTTGTATGGCCTGTTAGGAAGAACATAGGATGTTGCACAGCCACACACTCCTAGAAATCTAAAATTTTAGATAATGAGGGTCTGGAGAAATCTTGCAGCGAGCTGCTCGGGTTCCAAGATTCTTTTGTGTGTCTCTGGATCATGGCCATTAATGCACTTAAATAGTCGCTGGGGATAGCTCGTGGGCGTGACATCCAGGGTCCCATGGGGGTGGGAAGATGGGAAGGTCCGGCCCATCCCCTATCCCAGGAGGCCTGGAGTTTGCCGAGTATGGATATTTTTAAACTCATAAAAAGACTAAATAAGATTGTGAATTAAATCCATCATTCACCTCTATGAGTCCAGGCCACATTTTTGTGGGGATCCTCACAACTCCTACCACTGCGTACCACGGTGCTTTCAGGAGGATCCCAGATAAATGTCTTATCCCACTCATTAATATTTTATTGTAGGGGGCCGCAAAGATAGTATAGGGATTAGGCCAGGTACCTCGCATGCAGCCAAACATGGTTCATTCGCCAACACCATCTGGTCCCCTGAGCATCACTGTACTGGAGTGATAGCATAGCGGGTAGGGCGTTTGCCTTGCACACGGCCAACCCGGGTTCAATTCCCAGCATCCCATATGGTCCCCTGAGCACTGCCAGGAGTAATTCCTGAGTGCATGAGCCAGGGGTAACCCCTAAGCATTGCCAGGTGTGACCCCCCCCAAAAAAGAATACAACCCTGAGCATCACATGGTGTAGCCCTGGAGTCCTTCCTGAGCACCTCTGGCACTGCAGGGGCCGAGAGTATCTCATCCTCTGACTCTTGAATCGACCTACTGACCTGGCTGAGAATCACCAGGAGGTCCCCCTCCAAGCACCCCGAGTGCTGCTCAGGAACCCCCCAATCTCAGTGTAACTGAATGGTGAATGCCACTGTGATCTCTTCTTACTCTTTGGAAAGCCTCACACCGATTGGCGAATGCTACGGCATCGTAAGTAGCCAGCATCTGCGTTTCCCTCCTCAGCTCTGATCACCAAACCGGCGCCAGCCACATGTGAAGCCGCGCCCTCCCCCTGCACTGTCGCTTCTGTGCCTCTTTGGGGTCACTTGTACCGATGCTCAGATTGTCCCCTCCTGGGCCAGCGAGGGCCTCTTCAACTCAATCCGTTAGTCCTTTCGACACAATTCAAGTGGTCTCTGGGAGCTTCTTTTCTGGTGACAAGATGCTCCAAGTACTTCTTGACCTTCCTTGCCGTGAACTGGAATTGGGCATGTCTCAAAGGAGTCTGAGTTTCTTTTTCCTGGGAGTGGGCACCTGTCTTAAGGGCACCAGTGAAGTCAGGTGACTGAAAATTGCCTTTTCAGCCCCTTAAATCGTGTGTGTGTGTGTGTGGTGTGTGTGTGGTGTGTGTGTGTGTGTGTGTGTGTGTGTGTGTGTGTGTGTGTGTGGTGGGAGGGGGCCATACTCAGCAGTGCTAGGGCTTAGGGCTTAGTCCTGGCTCTGGAATCAGGGACCACTCAGGCAGTGCTCAGGGACCGTACAGTAATACTAGGAGTGAAACTCGAATCGGTCGTGTGCGAGGTAAACACTTTACCTGCCGTACTATCTCTCCAGCTATCTCACTGTCCCTAATGTCTAAACAGTGGCTAGTAAAGATTTTTTTTTTAACGTTTGCAAGGAACCTTAGCATGTGGTCATTCCTCAGCTAGCCACTTGGTGTCGCTGTAGGTCCAGGGTGCTGCGGGCAGCTATCGGCATGTAGGAGGCGAGCGCCCCTTTCTGTTACCCTGGGGCAGAGGAGAGGCGGAGTCTGCTGAGGAGACCTCGTTGGTCTTAAGGCCACGTCAAGACAGTATTCAGTGGCCTGCGCTCCAAGCCTGTCCCTTCTCAGTACCTCAATTTCCCCGTGGGGTGACAGCCCTGCAGGCCTGTCTCCAGACTCCCACTGCAGTCACGCTCACCCGTTCTCGCCAGCAGCACGGAACCTGCCCGCCTGCCTCCAGGGGAGCACGTGTGTGTCTGGGACAGAGTGTGACACCTGTAAGGGCCCCTCACCCCCCACCTCCCGGCGTTGCTGGTGGCGCTTCTCTCCCGGCATGGGGCGTGTCCACGCAGAGGGACAGAAGTGCCAGGTCCCCCGTGGGAGAGCCACATGCCCACTGAGCCCAGCTCCCCTCTGCAACCCCGCGGCCTGATGAAGACCCCCGTTCCCCTCTCGCTCTGTGCCTGCAGCCCCTGCCCCTTGCCGACCCCACCCAGCCCAGCCCTCCTGATGTCTCTGTACCTCCCTACCAGCGGCGGATCCATTTGCTCGTGTGTTCCCGGTTCTCTTCCTCCTGCCTGATGCCACTTTCTCATCCGTGCTCCACTGAAGGTCAGGAAGGAGTGAACGAGTGCCAACTCACTGCTTCTCTCTCTCTCCCTCTCTCTCTCTCTCTCTCTCTCTCTCTCTCTCTCTCTCTCTCTCTCTCTCTCTCTCCCCGCCCCCCTCCTCCCTGAGCTTCCCATATCTCCATTTCGGCTCCTGAGCTGAGTCCCTCGGGCTCCCGCAAGGTCTCTCCAGCCCGAGCCGTCCCGTCCAGTGGCTGTGCTGTCCTCGCCCAGGGCTTCTGTAAGCCACCCCTGCTGCTTCAAGCTGTGGGGGAGTGGGGGAGACGGATCATAATCAATGTTCTGAGCCGCTTTCGGGACTGTCACTCCAGAGCACCACCAGAAGAGGTGTCAGGAATGGAAAGGTCCAGAACATTCATTTCCTCTCTGGCTCATGGGAAAACAGGTGACAGGCAGGAAAATGACTGCCCGCCTGTCGGGAATCCGGGTACTGTGGGACAGAGGGCAGACCCGCGCTCTGTGGGGTGGGGGTTCTGCATGGGAGTTTGGTTCCACGTTCAGGGGGGTACTCCCGTTCCCTCTCGGAGCACCCAAGCAGATGCCTCGGGCCCCCGTCAGCCACCCGTCCCTGCCGCTCAGCCGTTCTGTGGGCCTTTACAGTGTGCTTGACAGGTGCTCACTCTCCATTTCTGGGGGCAGGAGCCCATGACCACGTGGCTATGTGGCCACGTGACACATGCCCACATGACCACACAGTCACATGACCCCACAGAGATACGGCCACACAGCCGGGACTGCTGTTGTCCCCCGGCACCTCCCTGACTTTCCAGGCCCCCATCAGTCCCTCGGGTGGCTCCCAAACCCTGTGTCTGACTCAGCCCAGCTTCCTCTCACACACCAGACCCCTGGTCCTGTCCGCCTGACACTTCCTCCACCTCCAGCCACGGTGGCCAGTGTCGCCCTGAGGCCAGTGTCCAGCGTCCACGGCTCGTGGCGGGGCAGACTCTCGAAGCTCCTAGTCAGCCTCCGCCCCACCAGCCCGCACCTGTCTGCCACCTCGGCACCTCCTCCGCCCCTCCAAGCCCTCAGCGCCCCCTCGGGTCACCCACCAGGGAAGCCCCTGGAATTTGGGCCCGAGCTCCAGCCACTTGTCACCTCGGCGGACTTGGGGCTGGCCCCTCCGTGTGTCACCTGTCAGCAGAACCTGGCTCACTTTCGCTGCCCACTGCTCCAAGTGTCCCCTGCCCTTCGAGCACCCCCACCTCTCAGTGTCCCTCCCTCACTGACACACATCCACACACTCATACACACACACACACACACACATGCACACACATATGCACACGTACACTCACATAGACACACATGCATACACACATATGCCTCACACAAATACATGCACTCACATATGTATCATATATACTCACACTAACACACCTCAGCTCTCACACACCAACACATCCACGCGCACTCTTACTTATACCCCCCCACACACAGACACATTCATACACATGCACACTCACACACACAGACACACATGCACACACAGATACACATGCACACACACAGACACACATGCACACTCACACCTGTTCACTCACGCCCTCTATCCCTCGTTTCCGCCCCTCCCAGAGGCTCTCGGGCAGCAGGCGAGCTGGAGACTCGGTCACAATGGATGGATCAATCGTTCCCGCCACCCCTCCTTGCCCTCCTGCCGTCAGGACCCCTCGCCCCACCCTGAGCTCCTTCCCATGCCCCCCTTCACCCCTGCACCCCCACGTGTCCTGCCCGCGGGAGGTGCCGGGAGGGTCCTGCACTCTGACCTTCCCTGCCAGGAGCCAAGGGGGGCTGGTTCTGCTGAGTGGGGTGAGACCAGTGCCTGGCGCCCCTTCTCCTGGCTCTCTCTCACCCCCTGGCCAAACTGTGGTGATGCCTTCAGAACATTCTGGAAAGTCTGACCGCCATGCAGAAGGTGCCTCCCATTCCCTTTTCCCGCAGTACATGCCCGCACCCCCAGCCCGAGTGACACAGCCTGGCAGGGCGCCTCCTACAGGCCCACGTTCCCATCCCTCTCTCCTCGCGCCCTTTGGAGACATTTCCTTTTGCATTTCTGAAATGCTGGGTCTGTGACCCTGGTTGCCATGGTAGCCAGATCTTTGCTATGATCACTATGATCTTTGCCATGATCACAGGGGGGCGTCACTGAGCGTGGGGACTCGGGCTTGGTTCCAGGACAGGCAGGCGGCACTTGGTGGCACTGCCCCTCGGGAGCCCAAAGCCCTTTACCCACAGTCCTCGGGCCACACCCCTGTGCTGGGGAGTGCCGGGAGCTGGGAGCTCGGTGCAAGGGGGGAGCATCCTCAGAGGCTTCTGGGAAACTGAGGCACCAGCAGGAGCTTCCTGTGTCAGTCAGGCTGCATGGTAGTTTGGGGGGGTGTGATACCACGACAGTGGGTGTTGGGGGACTGTGCCAGGGACTGTGAGAGGTCAGGGTGCGTGCGATCAGGTCAGTGTGTATGTGTGTGTGTGTGTGTGTGAGAGAGAGAGAGAGAGAGAAAGAGAGAGAGAGTCTGTGTGTATGTCAGTGTGTGTGTGTGTGTCAGTTTTTGTGTCTGTCACTGTGTGTGTGAGAGAGTCTGTGTGTCTGTCAGTGTTAATGTCAGAGTCTGTGTGTCTGCATGTCAGTGTGTGTTTTGTGTTTCTATGTATATCTGTCAGTGTGTGTGTTAGAGTCTGTGTATCTGTCAGCGTGTGTGTCAGTCTGTGTATCTGTATGTCAGTGTGTGTGTGTTGTGTGTCTGTCAGTGTGTGTGTATGAGAGTCTTTGTGTCTGTCAGTACATGTGTCAGAGTCTGTGTGTGTATGTCAGTGTGTGTGTGTTGTGTTTCTATGTGTGTCTGTCAGTGTGTGTCAGAGTCTTTGTGTTGTCTGTCAGTACGTGTGTCAGAGTCTGTGTGTCCGTATGTCACTGTGTGTGTGTGTATCTGTGCCTGTGTGTCTGTGTGTCTGCGTTTGTGTCTTGATTGAGTCAGGGCGTCTGACCATGTCTGGGTGTGATGGTGTCAAGGTGTGCGATGTCAGTGTTTGCCTCTGATACTCCCTCAGTTTCCCCCCAGGTGGGACTCCTGGTCCTCGCTGCTGTGTGCCGTGAGCAGTGACTGGGTGGCTCGCACCCCACTGAGCACTTTGCAGGATCCTTTCTCCCGGGATCTGGACACTCCTCGCCAGTCACCGGGAAGGACCCTCTCACCCCCCGCCCCGACCTAGATGAATCACCCCAGATGCCAGGGCAGGTCCCTCTTGCCCTCTCGCCCTTTTGCTCGTGAGGGCCACTCCTTTACTCTCCCGCAAACGGCAGAGGCAACACCCCCGGCACCCTCCACTGAGGCAAGGAGCAGCTCCAGGCCACGGGCTGAGAGGGTCAGTGGGAGCAGCCACACTCGCCCCCACTTCCGGGTTTGGAGACCCTTCCCACTTCCGGCGTCGGAGTCATTGCCCCCAACCGGTGCCCCCCGCCCCGCCCAGGAATAAGGAGACTCTGCGTGCATCCCAGAGCACCCTAATGTTTGCAGAGCCCCGAGGTCAAGGGTCCCCCAGTTCCAGTGTGTTACCGGCTTTACTTGCTGGAAAAACCTCTTTGGAATATTATTCATCCCCTGTCTGCGAGTCCGAGGCCTCCCTCTGGGCCTCCATAAACCTCGGACTCAACTTTCTGCTCCTGCCCTCGGAGCGGCCCGGCGTGCGTTTGAAGATTCGAGGCCGCTTTCTCCCAGAGGGACCTCGGCTTTGGGTTCTGTCACGACCGTCTAGACATTAAGACAGGCGATCCCTTCAAGATGAATCCTGGGTGTTTTCACATCAATAACCCTATAATCAACATGCAGAATGCTTACTGAGCGTGACTAACCAGTTACAAAAGAGCAAAGCGTGAGTCAGAGCGCCCCACCAAAAATAATGCATTTGGGCCTAATCTTGGCCCGGTGTGGGTTCAGATTTTTGAGTCATCGGGCTCATTAGGGACGGGGCTGCATTCGACTCCAATAAAGAGGGAGTGCAGCCCGGATTCTGAGGGGGATATTTAGGGTAGGCCGCTGGATGGATTCTGGCGTGTAGGCAGATGAAGTAAGGGGAGAATAATAATCTTGGGAAGACAGGCCCTGTGGCTTCTCTCTCCCACCTTCTGCCTGATTTAGGAAGAGTCGCTCCTGATTAGCAGAAGAAGGTTCCGTGACGGGGGAGGGAGCTGACTTTGGCAGCTCAGGTTTTTGAGGGAACATATATGTTGGTTACAGCCTTTTAGTTCAGTACCTGTATCTACTATGTCGAAGAATCCATCCAGATTTTAGTTTTGTGTTTCTTTGTTGGGTTTTAGGTGTTTCGTGTGTGGGCTTTGTCCCACACCCACTGGAGCTTGGGAGTTACTCCCAGCTCAGTGCTCAGCACCTTGTAGGGGTGCTGGGAAGACCGGGTGGTGCTGGGGCTCGCACCCAGGCCTCCTGCATGTAAAACACGCACTCCTGTTCCTTGAGTGCGCTCCACCCTTAGTTTTGGGTTTAGGAGAGAGCAGTGGTGTTTTTGTTTTTGTTTGGGACCCATATCTAGCAGTGCTCAGGGCTTAACTCCTGACTCTGTGCTCAGGGATCACTCCTGGCAGGGCTGTGGGGCCTGGGATCCAACCCAGATCAACTGGGTGCAAGGCTGGCACCCTACCCACTATCCTCTCGCTCCGGCGCCCATTTCTCTGTATCTTTAACTAGACCACTCCCCAGACACAGTGCTTGGCTGGGGGAGAATTGCCCCAACCCCCGCCCCAGCCAAACTTAGCCTGATCCTTAGACACGGCACAAACCACAGAGGGTAGGGAGCAGGCTTGAAGTCTCAGCCACCATCTCCTGGGGAAATTCAGGAATTTCCCCAGGGGGAGCGGACTTCTAGTGTGTGGTGCGTTAGTGTTTTCCTGCCCAATGATCGCCTGCTCTATGCAACCTTGTGTGAGGAACAAGAATCAATACAATGGACAAGGGGGGCTGTCAGGCCCCCAGGGATCAATCCCCCACCTCGGAAGTGGAGGTTAGCACAACCCCAAGGGAAGTGGGTGGCTTCTCCGAGGGGCCAGGCCCTTTGGGTTTTTTTTTTTTTTTTTGCTTTTTGCTTTTTGGGTGACACCCAGCAGCAATGTACAGGCATTACTCCTAGCTCTGCACTCAGGAATTACTCCTGGTGATGCTCAGGGGACCGTATGGGATGTCGGGGATCGAACCCGGGTCGGCCAAGTACCAGAAAAAACGCCCTCCCCACTATTCCATCGCACCGGGCCCCATCCAGACCCTTCCTTAACCAGTTGCTTGATTTGGTTCCACAGGCAGTTCGGTGGCTACGCTAAGGAGGTGGACTACGTAGCCCAGGCAGCCCAGCTGCGTGCCGCCCTGGAGGGCTCGGCCACCTACCGGAGTGACATGTACTTCTGCACTGGCTACGACCCCCCGATGAAGCCCTATGGACGCCGTAACGAGGTCTGGCTGGTGAAACCCTGAGTGGTCCCCAAGCCACGGCTACCGGACACATGTGCTGTGTCCACCGGAGACAGGAGGAGTCATGCTGCCAACTCCAAGTCACTGCCAGTGTCCACATGCTGTCCAGAACAATCAGCCTCCTGATTCAGAGAGCACGCTGGTGGACTCAATGGCCCCCAGTAAATGTGGCCCTAGTTCTCTGGGTCACGAAAAATGGATTAAAAAAAAATACCCAGCAACAGTATTTTTATTATGAAGTGGGGGGAAATGTGACTTGTATATGATCTTTCATCTGTGATTCTGACAAAAGCTCTGTCTTGTCTGAAAAAGAGATGATGGGAAATAAAGATCTTGACTTAAAGCGCTGAGACGTTTTTTCCACGATTCTGCTGGCTTCGAGGCTAGAGAGCAGTGAGAGCTATTGACCTGGGCGGATGTGTGAATCCTGTTTTGTTTTGTTTTGTTTTTTTGCTTTTTGGGTCCCACCCGGCGATGCACGGGGGTTACTCCTGACTCTGCACTCAGGAATTACACCTGGCAGTGCTCAGGGCACCGTACGGGATGCTGGAAATTGAACCTGGTCAACTGCGTGCAAAGCAAACGCCCTACCCACTGTACTATTGCTCCAGCCCCAAGGGAATCCTGGTGTGGACTTCCAGAGCCCCGGGAGCTATAAACCTAAAGATCCCTGAGGCACAGGCCCAGGCACCACGGGCTTGAAAAAAATCGCAAACTCAGGCCTGAGAGGATTCCAAGGAGTGGAGCATGAGCGTTGCATGCAGGAGTCTTGATTCGGGCCCACTATTGCGAATTCCACTTAGCACTGTTCGAAGTGGGCCCTAGCACGGCAGAAAGATCTCTTAATCAGACACTTCTTTCGTGTTTGCTTTTGTGTTGTGACCACACCTGGCAATGCTCAGAGGTCACTCCTGGCTCTGCACTCAGGAATTACTCTTGGTGGTGCTCAGGGGACCATATGGGATGCCGGGGATTGAACCCCGGGTCTGCCGCATGCAAGGCAAACTCCCTTCCCTCTGTACTATCGCTCTGACCCCATCAGTTCAATCAGATGCTTCTTGTGAGCAGGACATCATTGAAAAATACAAAAAGTCCCTGGAAAAAGTAGAGACATAGACAGGGGTTAAGGCACTTCTTGCCTTGTGTGCCACTGACCCAGCATCGCCTACTGCTCTCTGCACTGCTGGGGGGAAACCCTCAAACACAGCCAGCAGCAGTCCCTGGAAACCACCAGGCGTGGCCCAGCCACCCCCCAAAAAAAGAAAAAGAAAAGAGAAATCCCTGGAATTATAAATGTGAACAACAAGTATCCGTTGAGCGAGAAAATACTGACAAGCTATTAGACCTGAGAGATAGCACAGTGAGTGAGGTTCCTGCCTTGCATACTGGTGATTGACACCCCATAGGGTCCACAAGATCTGCCAGGAGGATCCCTGAGCAATGCTGGGCATGACCCTGGAAGCCCACCTGTCCCCCAACCCTCAGGCCAGCTCCGCTTCCCAGCTCGTGAGGCCTGTGCCGATCTGCTGCACAATGTTCCAGCTTTCACTCCCCCCACCCCCCGGGGGCCGGGCTGTTGGCCTGGAGCCAACCTCTTTACCTCCTTTATCCAAGGCTGGGTTTGCTCATCTCATGGCGCTAACTGAACCCTCCGCCACCAAGACACCTGCTGTGACCCCCTCTAGTGTCGCACCCTGCTCTAGGTCTTTCTCATGGCACAATGTCTCTATCTTCCTTCCTAATGCAATGCAGCACTTACATTTTGAGATTTGTTTGGAAGTCAGGGGCAGGGGGTGGGGTGGGGTGGCTTTGGGGTCATATCCAGCAGTGCTCAGGGCTTACTCCTAGTTCTGTGCTCAGAGGTGTCTCCTTGGAGAGACATATGTGATGCCAGGATATTGAACTCAACTGGGCTATCTTTTTTTTTTCCCTCTTCATCTCTGTCCTCATCCTCCTCCCTTTCCTCATCCTCCTCCTCTTTCTCTTCTTTCTCCTCTTCCTCCTCGTCCTCTTCCTCCATAGCTATTCAGATATTGAGCAGATATGCACGATTGGTGCTAAAAGAAAATTAAAATTTTAGGGGCCAGAGAGATAGTATGGTGGGTGGGGCATTTGCCTTGCATGCAGCCAACCCTGGTTCAATCCCTGGCATCCCATATGGTTCCTTGAGCACCGCCAGGAGTAATTCCTGAGCACAGAGTCAGAAGTAACCACTGAGCATTGGCTGGTATGATCCCCAAAAGAAAAAACAAATTAAATTTTAAAGAGGGCCACCTGGGAGACAGCTGGGGGGTCCCCAGGGCTCTTAGAGGTCTGAGTCTGTGATCACCCTCTGAGCCATGCAGACAGACCCCTTGGGAGGACTTTGCTGCCTCCAGACTCAGTGCCTCAGTCTCTCCTCTTGCCCCCTTTGGAAGCCTCAAACTGCAGAGCTTTATTGAGATGACAAGAGAAGGGGGAATAGTTTTCCATCCCCTCTCCCACAGGGAGCAGGGTGGGTGTGGGTGACAGAGTGAATTGGGTGGGGCAGGACCTGGAGTCAGCCCGAGCACAGCGACCAGCCAGGGTGGATCCCCAGTACCGTGTATAGTTCTCTCAGCCCTGCCAGGAGCCATCCCTGAGCACCTCCAGCTATAGCCCAAAACCAGCACAGAGAGGAGGGGAGGATGGAGAACAGGACTTCACAGCCCCGAGACCTGAACTGCCAGTGCATAGTTGAGAAGCTTTGCTTTGGACTCCATCCGCTCCCACCAGCAGTGTTCCCAGGCTCAAAGGGGATGCCAAAGTCCCCTGAAGCCCCCCACCCACCCTGACCCTCCCCTCCCCAGGTCCAGAGCCCAGCATATGGCCAACATCAAGCCTGTTCTGTGACTGAGTTGGGAAAGAGGAAGCAGATGACAACATGGACAGATATCTCAACTCTCCCTTGCACGGAAGGGCCAGGATCACACTCTCCAGCTGGACACAGGTAGTCTTGCCTCTTGCCAGAAGCTTCTTCCTGCCGCCTGGCTCTCCCTCACTCCCAGGGTATGTGGGAACCTGGTTAGCCAAGTCGGTCCTGCAGGGGTTCTAGACAAGCTCCACCCCACTTCTCCTCCTGAGCGTGCAGAGGACGACCGTGGGTTAAACCCAGTGGGCGCAGGGCTGCGTCCTGGGGAGTTGTCAGTGCCCGGGTGAAGGAAACCCTCCTTGGTTTACTCTCAGCTTCTCCACTCTTGACTAATAGCACTTTGATCTTGAGGACGGTCATTAACAATTCATAGCCTGCCACATCCATGGGTGTTTTTCTGGTTGAATGCCATGACTTTTTGCCTTTGACTCTGTACTGTTGCCTCATTCTAGGGTTTTCTCATGCAAGGCAACAGAAAGAGGGACAGACCCCATACTCGCACTCATGTGAGATCAAGACGCGATCCTGACTAGGAGGTAACAGTGTGGAGGGGGTGGCAGGAACGGGTGAGCTGTGCCAAACTCCAGGCCACCCCGCTTAAGGTTTCCTCGGCAATGAATCATACTTGGCCAGGGGACAACACAAAATTCTGCCAACGATAGAGAAGGGAGCACAAAGTAAAGGGTGTTGGGAGGATCCTCCCAGGATGGGTGATGCATGCTGAAAGTAGACTTATAGACTGAACATGATTGCCACTCAATGCCTCTTTTGCAAACCACAGCACCCAAAAGGAGAGAGAGAACAAAAGGGAATGCCCTGCCACGGAGGAAGGGTGGGATGGGGGGGTGGGAGGGATACTGGGATCAGTGGTGGTGGAGAATGGGCACTGGTGGAGGGATGGGTACTCGATCATTGTATAACTGAAACCCAAGCACAAAAATTTGTAAGTCTACAACTGTACCTCATGGTGATTCACTAATAAAAATTAAAAAAAAAAAAAAAAAGAAGTCTGCCAACGTTCAACCTTGGTGTCACAGACAGGTTGGAACTTTGCCCAAGCAAGGTCTCTCGTGAGTGGCCACTGATGGTGGGTGCCTGTGCCAGCTCATGACCTAATGAACTGGACATGTCCGCCCCAATTGGGGCCCCCAGACCCTGCACTCGCTTTCCATCCACACATGAGCCCAGAAGGACCCGTGGGCAGGAGGATCCAGGCTATGTAACTACCATAGTACGACTTCAGTTCCAACCAACTTGCCCACCAAGCCCGCAGAAGTGATCTGAGCAAGCAGAGCCAGGAGTTGGCCCTGAGCACTGCCCAGCGTGGCCCCGAAGACCAAAACAATTAAATAGCCTAGAATTTGAACTCAGACCATGTGACACCACCTCCTAACTACAGATCGTGTTCAAGTGCCCGGCTTCCGGCATGGTGAAAAAGAAGATGAAGTGGAAGGTGATCGTGCCTGAGAACACCCCCTCCCAGGCTCCCAGCACTCCCCTCCCTGTTGGATGTTTGGGGGTCATAGCCACGGCCTACGCCCAGGGCCTCTGCCATGCGGCCCTTCAGGCCAGCAGCCCTGCCCGACTTCCTGACTTCCCTCCATGGCTCACAGCTCTGCCGGAAGCGGTCCCGGGCCCAGCTGGCCCTCCTCAAACCCACGTTTCAGACTGGGCCTCCTATCACCATGAGCGTGTCTCTCTGGTCTTTCTCTGTCTCTCCCTCTCTCCGCCTCTCTCTATCTTTGTGCCTCTCTCTGTCTCTCTCTGTCTTTCTGTCTCTCTCTCCCTCTCTCTGTCTCTCTATGTCCTTCTGTTTCTGTCTCTCTGGGTCTCTCTTTCTCTGTCTCTCTGTCCCTCTGTGTCTCTGTCTCTGTCTCTGTATGTCTCTGTCTCGGTGTCTGTCTCTGTCCCTCTCTGTAACTCTCTGACTCTCTTTGTCTCTGGCTCTCTGTCCCTCTCTGTCTCTGTCTCTCTTTCTCTGTCTCTCTATCCCTCTCTCTGTCTCTATATCTGTCTCTCTGTCTCTGTCTCTGTCTCTCTGGCTCTCTGTCCCTCTCTGTGTCTCTCTATCTCTGTCTCTCTGTGTCTCTGTCTTATCTCTGTCTCTCTATCTCTGTCTCTCACCTTTACCGTGTGAGCAGCTGGGCCTCCCAGGCGTGAGCAGGGCTGGGCTAAGCCCTCTCAGGACCAAGAGGTGCCTTCCCGTCCTCCAAGCATCTACAAGGACCCCACGGAGGGAGTTAGAGGCACCGACTTAAATCATACAGAAGTTTGGGGGGTCCTAGGCGAGCACCCTGACTGCCTCCCTCTGTCTCGGGGTGAGGTCCCCGCCTCTGTCTGAGGTGAGCGGGGTTCCCCACCTGAGCCAGGCCATGGGTCTCCTGCAGAAGCCCCCCATTTGACTCCATCTTTCTCCC